ATAAGCTCAATCTCTTCACCATCTATCATGATGCTGCCAAGCATCCCAGTGGTAAGAATCTTTGTTTTCTTGATGTTGAGCTTCAATCCATATTGAAGACTACAGTCCTTGGTCTTCTGCAGCAAGTGCTTCAAGTCCTTCTAAAACCAAAAAGGTAGCATTTCCCCAGAGGTAAAGTTCAGAAGGCGGTAAGAGATAGGATAGAAGGATAAATGGAAATTAAAATCACAAGGAAAAATTAGGAAGAGTGTTACAATGTGAAGATTGTCATTAATATCATAGAACAAAGTGTATATGAAATATCATGTTGTAATTAATGCCTAGAACAAATATATATATATATATATATATATCTCATCCTGTTTATACAATTCTGTGCTAAACAAAGCATGTCTAAGGAGTTCTATTAGTATGCCAGTCTTAAAACTTTCTGCTGTTGAGTCATGACTGACTCACAGCTGGCCTTCTAGCAGGTTTTCAGATCCTGTTTTTTTGCACAAGAACAAGTTGCCTCTCTTGCTCATTTGAAGCAGCTGGTGGGTTTGAGCCACCAGAGATGCCACCTTTGTGTTCCCAGCAAAATTCCTTATGGACTGTACCACCAGAGCTCCCTTGTTAGTATATGTTCTTGTTGACCATCCAGTCAACCAACTCATCACTCAGAAGCAGCTAATCACACAGGAGAAGACTGTCCTTCTCCAGTGGAGCAGCTAGTATATTTGAACTGCATACCTTTGAGATTGCAGCAATTTCCTAACACTAGGCTACCAGAAAGAGCTCCCTGCTATGTTAGCATATATCGTTGTTGTTGATTGCCATCGAGTCGAGCACGACTCATAGCAACCCTATGAACAAAAGGCCTGAAGCCTTTCTATAACTGTCATCATTTATCAAAGTTCATAGAGTTTCTGGAGGCATGTTGTTTAGGAAGTTGATGCATGGTGGAAGATAAAACATCTACTCCTTACTAGTTTAAGTTCAGATCCATTTGTATTTAAGACATTCCAGTTTTAGTGTTGAGTCCCTGGGTGAATGTAAATGGGTAATGTTTGGTTGTCAACTGGAAGTTTGGAGGTTTGAGTTCATTCAGAGTCTCCTCAGAAAGAAAACTTGGTTATCTACTTCCAAAAATTAGCCTTTGGAAACCCTGTACAAGCACAGTTCTACTCTGAGTCAGAATCAACTGACAGAAACTGTTCTCTGTTTTTGTTTTACTGATTTTACAGGAGCACAAAAATGGAAGAGGAATTAGAAGAGAGAGCTAGGGGAGGAGTCAGGACAAGGGGTGACATCCACAGTGGTTTTGCACATTGCATTTAAATTCTCCAGGATCTTTGTCAGAACTGGAGATGAGGACGTTTTCTGTCAGCCCTCTGCCTGAGCCAAAGGCAGCACTGTGTCTGTACTTAACCATCTCCAAACTCCTGCAGCTTTCCCGATTTTGGATAGCAGTTTACCTTGCTGCTGGAGACACAAGTCCATTAGAAAGAGGAAGTTCAGCTCATCCCTCAGCAGAATTTCCTTCCCAGCCCCAGTAATGCCTGGGGATACCAGGATAAGGACCCACCCTCTCCTTAAGAAAGTTCCAATCATCAGAGCTGGTTGCACAAGAGAAAATGTTTTCCTTTTCTTTCTGTTCTTTCTGCCTCACTTCTGTGGATCCTCTTCTTCTTTTTCTTCTTTTTTTAAAGAATAAATTATTTTAATTTTTTTTATTTTATTTTGTTACTTTTGTGTGTGTGTGTGTGTGTGTGTGTACTGTCAAATCAGATCTCGCTGGTACAGGAGGAGATTGCCCCTCCTTCTGCAGCAGAGCATCGGGTATATTTGAACCGTGCTCCTCTAGGATTGCAGTGCAACTTTTTGCCACTAGGCCACCAGAGCGCCCTTGGATCCTCTTCTTCTTGACAACTTCTTTTCCCTTCCTCTCCAGTCTTCTCTCTCACCTCATGCTGACTTCTTATGAAATGCCTTTTCACCAGAACAACCTTTCACTCAAGCAAACCTCTTTGGGATCATTATCATTTAACAGCTTGTGTTAACACATCACTGACTTGTTCTGCAGCATTACAACAGTTTTTGACTTGACCATAGCTATTTCTGTGGTTGAATATACTCGACAGGAGTCTCTGAGTGGCACAAATGACGCAGTGCTCACCTCCTGAAAATTGATGATCTGTGTTCACCCACAGATGCCTCCCTTTGTTTGCATGGAGGAGACAAAACAAAGGGAAAACATGTCAAAGTGAAAGAGCTGAACAGATTTCAAAGGGCCACTGGAGAAGACAAAGCAAAGTATTATAATGGAATATGCAGAAAGCTGGAATTGGAGAATAAAAAGGGAAGAACTCATTCTGCATTTCTCAAGCTGAGAGAAATGTAAAACACATTTAAGCCTTGAGTTGCAATACTGAAAGATGCTATGGGCAATATATTGAATGACCCCAAAAGTATCTAGATGGAGGGAATACACTGAGTCACTGTGTCAGAAAGAACTGATTGACACTGAAAAATTTCAGGAAATATCGTATGATCAGGAGCCAGTTGTAATGAAGGAGAGAGTCAAAGCTGTATTGAAGGCCATGGTCTTTCTTAATTACTTGCTATGCATCTGAGAGCTGGACAGTAAATAAGGATGACAGAAGAATTGATGCCTTTGAGCTGTGGTGTTGGAGAAGAGCACTGAACATCCCATAGACGACCAGGAGAACAAACAGATGTGTCTTGGAGAGGGTGCAGCCAGAATACTCTTTGGAGGTAAAGATGATGAGATTTTGCCTCACAGACTTCAGGCATGTTGCTAAGAGGAGCAACTCCTTGGAGAGGGACATGATGCTTGGAAAGGTGGAGGGTTGGTAAAGGAGAGGAAGAACCTCAACCGGTGAATTGACATAGTGAGTGCCACAGTGGGCTCTTGTGTATCAGGAAGTGTGAGAATGGCACAGAGTAGGACAGGATTCAAATCTACTGTTCCCAGGGTCTCTGCTTGACTTGACAGCACCTAATAACAACAATAACACAGATGCCTCAAAAGAAAGGAAACCTGGTAAGCTACTTTTGAAAGATTTTTTTAAAAAAGAAAAAAAAAGGCAAAGCCAAAACCAACCAACCAAAAATCAGCCAGCAAGTTGATTCTGACTCTTAGTGACCCTGGAAGGCAGAATAAAAGTACCCCAAGAGTTTGCAAGGCAATAAACCTCCAGAGAAGCAGACAGCCTCATCTTTCTCTCAAGCAGCTGGTGGGCTTGAACCACTGACCTTTGGATTGGCAGTCAAGCATTTACCCACAGCACCACCGGGCTCCTCTTTGAAAGATCACAGCCATTGAAAACACTATGGAGTGTAGTTCTATTTGAAATGCTTGGGGTCACCTTTGAGTTTGATTGACTCAAAGGGAACTGGCGGGGGCTTTTTATAGGCTAATTTTTATAGACTAACCACCATACATCTGTCTCATCTCACTTTATATTGTGAATTTCAGTATCCTGTCTTTTTTAAAATTAAAATGTAAACTCCCTCATTTTCATTAAAAAAGAAAAAATGACAAGCAAAAATGTTTTATGCCAGAAATAAGTTCAACCATCCTGACAGTGACTGTAACCAGGCAAGGAAAAGTACAGGGGTGGGGAAGTTTGTTTTGATTTCTGCTCTGTCAAAAGCAGTATATAAATGTGTTATGGAGCTAACTTCACACCCACACCCTTAGAAAGCTGTTTTGATCTTTGTTTTAAAGATAAGGGGATCAAAGCTTGGAGAACTTGGGTTCTGCATACCCTCAATCCACAGGTTGGAACTGACTGGTAGGGCAAAAATCTGAGTCTTTGCATGATCATCACACTAGGCTGCTAACTGAAAGGCTAGACGTTTAAGTCTAATGACTATGGGTGATAGAGAGAGAATGGATGCCTTTGAGCTGTGATGCTGGACTATTGAATATACTATGAATGGCTTGGAGAACAAACAGGTTCATGCTAGAGAAGATGAGACCAGGCTGCTCCTTGGAGACAAGCATTCAGAAGCTTTGTCTGACATACTTTGGACATGTTGGGACCAGTCTTTGGAAAGGCATGTCATGCTTGGGAGGATAGAGGAACAGCACAAGAGAGAAAGACCCTCCATGAGATGGATTGACTCAGTGACTGTGGTAATGGGGGTTGGTGTGTCAGAGACAATAAGGTTGGCACAGGATAGAGCAGGGTTCAGAGCTGTTGTACATAGGGTCAGTAAGAGTCACAAGTGACTCGATGGCACATAACAACCTTGTTGTTAATTGCCATCAAGTTGACTACAACACATGGTGACCAGTGAACAGTGGATCTGAATTTTGCCCTATTCTACACCATCCTCACCGTCTCTGACATACTTGAACCCACTGCTACAGTCACTGTCAGTCCATCTTGTTGAAGGGCTTCTCTTTCGCTGACTCTCCACCTTTCCAAGCGTGTTGCCCCTTTTCAAGGAATGGCCCCTCCTAACAGTATGCCCAAAGTATGTGAGCTGAAGTTTCACCATTCTTTCCTCTAAGGCGTCCTGAACTACGTCCAAAAAAAAAAAAAATCAGCCTCTGTGCTTTTGTGTAGTTTGATTCTGACACAGACCAGGTCACCATGAATCAGAGTGGTCTCCATGGTAACTGTTTCTGAATTGTCATCAGACCTTGGTACCAGGCCATACTGCTTTCCCAGCTGAGAGGCAGCTTGTAAATAAATGACAACTATTTCTCTACCTTCTGTGTGTAGCCGAGCACCACACAAACTGTATGTACAAAGGGAAAGAAAATAGAAGTGACTTAATCTTTCCATGTCTCTTCATTTACTGATCAGGGAGAGTTACAGCAAGAAAAAGCTAACTTGTTTTTTCAGTGTTACCCCAAAGTTTTACTAATTACATTGCATTTGGATCCTGTGGTGGGGAATGGTTCCCTTCAGTTCGGCAACAAAAGAAATTGCCTTGCAAAGTCTGTATAAAGAGTATTAAAAATATCCTATTTCTTAACACAGAGGTTCCCCTGGATGAGTGCACCTATTCAAGTTGGATTAGTTGGCTTCTGGTGAGTAGAAGTTCATTTCCTATCACTAATTGCTTTTTCAAAGATAAACATACAGCATATAAAATGTGCAGGGAAGGGTAGATAAAATGGGATGCAAAGTTTGAGAGTGAGACTCATCTGGGGCCATTGGAATTCTGGACCCCGTAATGAGCTCCAAGTGCACCATCTTTGAGAGCATTGATGACCCCGTGCAAGAATTCTCTCCTTCCGTGATGGAGCCTCATGCAACCCCCAGTCAGTATAATCCACCTGCCTGTCAGTGGAGACCTGCATGTTGCTGTGACACTGAGCGAGTTTCAGTGGAACTTCCAAAGCCACAGCAAGAAGAAAAGCTTGGCAGTCTACCTCCCAAAGTCCACCAGTGACAATCACACAGCTCGTCCTGTGAGCGTGTGTGGCGATGATGGAGGACTGAGCAGCATTTTGTTGCATTATGCCTAGAATCCCTGCGCACATCAGGTTCAGCTCAATGACAGCTAATGGTAACACATTCTGCTTAAAAAACATCTATAGAAGGGAGGCAGAGGGGGAGGAAATCCGTTTAAAAAAACAAAAGAGAAGAAAATTCTGCAATATTTGGGACTCTCATTTGTAAGAATTTTTTGAAACTTCTGTATATCTCATTTCTATTTCTTATTATTTTGGCAGTCCTCCTTGTTGTTGTTGTGTACCTTGGAATCAGAACTGACCATGCATGACCCACCAGTGGGTTTTCAGAAGCAGTTAGTCTCATGGGGGTTGATTGTCCATTTTTCTACCATGAAGTAGCTGGTGGATTCAAACCACACACTTTGGCATTGGCAGAGCAATTCCTTACCACTAAGCCACCAGAGTTTATATTACTTTGGCACTCCTGTGTAATAAAATGACACAAAAAGGATAGATTGTGCGAGAGAATATGCAGCAATAAAGAAAGAAAACGGATGGTTAGATTAATAAAATGGGAAGAGGGACTCGTAAAAGCCAGCTGTTTATAAGATGCCAACAGATGCTAAAGACTCATCTTTTCTTTCTTTTCTTAAAGTTTGGTGTTTGCTACACCTCTCTGCTGTGCTTTGTTTCCTCAGAAAAGGTATGTATATGTTATTCTTCTGTATGGTTACAACATTGAATCCTAATAACCAAAGTGACAGATGTTGTTAATTCATTTCACTGGTTGGGAAGTTGAGACAGAAAAAAAGATCATTTAAGCCCTAAGCCCATTTCCATCAAATCAGTTCTGACTTACCGTGACCTATAGGACAGAGTAGAACCATCTGAGGATGTGAATCCTTTTAGATGTGCATTGCCTCATCTTATCCCATGGAGCAGCTGATGGGTTCAAACTGCCGACTTTTCAGTTAGCCAAGTGCTTCACCAGCCTGCCCCCACTACCCCTTAAGAAAGCCTGGGTCACTGAAAGAAATGGAAAATCAAGCTTGAATCTGCCTAATTTCAAAATTCCTTGCCAACTCTTTTCTAATCCTTTGAAATGCTTTATTCTTCAGTAAGAGTCAGGTTAACTCTGGTGCAAATTTGTTCTTACAAAATTTAAATACAGCTTATTCTCGCCCAATCCATTGACAAAGGCACATGTAATACATATATTAGAATTTAAGTTTCACCCCCAGGGATGGCAATTATATGCACTTAGCTTAGGTGGTTGGTACATTTGCTTCTCTTCTTCCCACATCATTTTTTAGTGTTAAAAGCCTTAATGCTCACGTGTCTTTTATCACAAGCTGACCTTGAATCCTGCCTTTGATGTGCACATTGGATTGACAGGCATTAAATCAGCATTCTATGAATCTAGGTCATCAGCCTCCTCCTAATCGAGCATGAAGGCAGAGAGAAGCAATATCTCCTAGCTTCTGTTGGGGATGTTTTGGGTTTGTTGTTTTTTTCTTTTAAAAACATTCCCAGTCTCCAGCCATTTTAATACCTTTTCCATCGTGGCCCACCTAGTCCCAAACACATGGTCTGTAATGCCCTAGATGTTCAAAGCAGGTTTCAGATGAGGTGCTCTATACTTCAACTAACTTTATTCATTTTCTCTACCCGTTGATGAAAAACTCTTCCTTCTACCTGCCTTTCTACTTCTGTCTTTGATACCCCCACCCTCTTGAAGAGGTGATCTGGTGGTGCAGTGGTTATGCACTAGACCGCTAACTAGGAACCCACCACCTGCTCCCCAGGAGAAGGACATGGCAGCGTGCTTGTATAACAGGTTATATTCTTGGAAACTATGAGGCAGTTCCGCTTTGTCCTGTCAGGTCACTAGGAGCCGGAGCGGAATAGATAGCAACACGTAATACAACAGGTAATACAAATGATTATCTTAATTGGCTGTTACTCAGAGGTTACAGGTTCAGGCCTACCTGGGGCACCTTGAAAGAATGACTTAGAAATCTGCTTCCCAGAGGTCATGGTCTTGAAATCTCTATGGAGCATAGTGCTCTTCTGACCACTGGGTCTCCATGAGCTGGACTTAACTCAGTGGCAAGGAGTTTGGTTGAATAGGGATTTAAATGCCAAAAGAGAGAGAGTCCTTCATCACCTTGACGCCTACCGGCGAGCTGGGGAGGGGGCGAGTCTTCCGCATTTGTTCTCTGAGACTGCCTGTACATGGAAAAACCATGCCCATTTAGTTGTGCAAACGCCAGAACCCAGGTCTTAACGGAGAAAAGGCTGCTTGTGACAGTGGAACCCCACCTCGTACCAGTTGGCCCTGCACTTGAGGACTTCAAGATGGTGCCTTTCAGGTGCTGCTGAGAGTGCTTGATGCAAACAAAATTCTTCTTAAATGCAACTTATTATTTTGACACTAAAAGATGTTTAGATTTGAAAAGAAGTTAAACAGTGCCCTGCCAATGCCTTGCTTGACTTTGCCTCAAGACAGTGTTTGAGGGGGAAAAACCCCTTATTTTCTTTTTAGTATTTTTAAAAAAAAATTTTTTCTTCTTTATTTTATATTATTGTGATTTTCATGAAAGTTTATAGAAAAGTTGGATTTTCATTCATTCATTGTTGCACATTTTCTTCTCCCAGTCCATTTTACAATGCACCGCTTATTCTGGATTCATATAATGTTGTTGATTGTCATTGAGTCAAGCACAACTCAGGAACCCTATGAACAAAAAGCCTGAAGCCTTTCTATAACTGTCACCATATAAAAGTTCATAGTGTTTCCAGAGGCATGTTTAGGAAGTGGATGCCACTCCTGCTACCTAATCATATATTCCTTTTAAACAGTTCTTTTCCTCATCTGTTCCAATGTAGTGTTCATTATCTATCCACTCTTTTCCTATTCTCCTTCTAACCATGTCAGTCCTGCTTTGTAACAGTGGTATTATACAGTATTTGTACTTTTGTGACCGAGGTGTTTCTCTTAGCATAATATCCTCCAAGCCCATCCATGTTGCATAATGTTTTACAAGTTCATTGTTTTTCGGTGCTGTGTAATATTCCATTGTGTACAATAGATTTTCTATCCATTTGTTTGTTGATAAGCTTGGGGTGCTTCCATCTCTTTGCTATTGTGAATACCACAGCAATAAACATGTGTGTGCATACATCTGTTTGACTGACAATTCTGGCTTCTTTAGGGTATACTCCCAAAAATGGAATTCCTGGGTCAAATGGTATTTCTATTTCCAACTTTTTGAGAAAGTGCCAGACTGCCTTCCATAGTGATTACACTATTTTACACTTGCACCAGCACTGAATAACAGTTCCAATATCTCCCCAACCTCACCATTGTTTGTTTACTCCCATGTTGAATTTTGCTATTCATTTGGTGAGATATTATCTCATTAGTTTTTTCATTTGCATCTCTCTGATAGATAAGGATTTTGGACATTTCTTTATGTGTTTGTTTGCCATCTGAATGTGTTCTCTGGTGAAGTGTCTGTTTATATCCTGTGTTCATTTTGTGATTCAGTTGTTTACCCTTTTCTTATTGAGGTATTCTTTTTTTTGTTGTTGTTGTTGTTTATTCTCGTTTATTTATAAAATTCAAATACATTGTTTTTCAAACCAGATTCTTCCAATTTCCCTCACCACCCCCCACCCATCATATGGTCCAACTCATGATTAATCCTCCTCTCGTCCCTGTACATCCTCATCCCTCTGCTTCCACCCTCCTCCCCTTGACTCTTTATATGCATTAATTTTTATTTTATATTGATTTGCATTCATAATTCATATACACTGTCTTTCACACTTCCTGTCATTCACATCGTGTTTCGTACATTCTCATATATTATGTTTTATAAACTTAATACCCATTGAATTATGACCACTATTACCCTGTCTTTTCAGATCTCCACCAGATCTTTCCCACTTCCTTTACCCGCCCCCTCTCCACCCACCAAATTGTGTGACTCTGTGATTTCCCCCCACCCATCCTCACCCCTTGTTGAAGCATTCTAGTTGGCGTATTCTATAAATTTTAGATCTGAGTCCCTTACTACATATAGGCCATTGCCAAAGGTTTTTTGGCCAATCTGTGCCTTTCCTTTTTACCCCGTTGGAGAAGTGTTTTGGTGCATTTGATTCTTAGAAGGTCCCATTCATCTATTTTGCTCTCTTTTGGTTGTAGGTTAAATGATTTCTTCTTCATTTGAGTGAAGCGTTACAAATCATTTTGCTTTTTCATACACTCACAGACATTTTGTTCTATAACATTATCATTGATTAAATTAATTAATGACAATGTCTAACCAACCCTCATCATGTATTGCCTTTTCCTTCACCCAGCTTATCACTGTATTGAGTTTTTTTTTTCTTAATAAACGTTTTTTTTTTAAATTTAGGTTTATTTTTCATTTCAATGAACATCTACAGAAATTTTGGGATTCCATTCATTCATTGTTGCACCCTTCTCCCCGCACAAACCCCTCCCCCCCCATTTGCTCCTCTCCTTGAAAAGCAAAAGAAAAACTCCCTCATTGGTACACAATCCCCCCCCCCCCCCCCCCAAACCCCCCCCCTACCCCCAAATATAATCCACTCTACAACCCTCATTGCATACTCCTACGATAAAAATAATGCCCTAAAATATAATACTTTTAGACTATTCTCTCCCCCATAGACTATGAAATATGTTCACTGTATTGAGTTTTACTCGCCTTTTTCTCCCTGTTCATCCCTCTTCCAAGATTGATGCTATTTTTATGGTTATTTTAACTCTTAAGTGTGGAAGTTAGATTTTTTTCATCACTGGTGTCATGAGGTCACATGCCTTTGGAGAATACATGATTTGACATTTGAGAAACCTAGAATCCGCTCGTCTCCCTCTATTCAAAAGTGAAGCATGTTGTTGTTGTTATGGGCCACCAAGTCGCCTGTGACTTATAGCAACCCTATGTACAACAGCCCTAAACGCTGCTCTATCCTGTACCAATCTAACTGTCTCTGACACACCTACCCAAGGCTCTGAATCAATCCACCTCACAGAGGGTCTTCTCCTTCACTGTCCCTCCACCCTCCCAAGCATGACATCCTATTTTCTTTTTGTTTGCCTATATGTTTGCACATTTGTTTTTCTTCTTTTTTCCTGCTTCTCTGTTACACAGAATAGGATGATAGGCATACCTCAGAGATACTGCAGGTTCTGTTCTAAACGCTGAAATAAAGCAAATAAGCAATGAAGCAAGTTACATGCATGTTATAGTTTCCCAGTGAATGTGAAAGTTATGCTTATTCTGTACTATAGTCTATCCAGGGACCCATAGCATCATGAAGAAGTTGAGTTAGTATGAGAATTACCAAAATGCCAAGCAGTAATAAGAATTGAGCACATGCTGTTGGTGAACTGACACCAATAGACTTGTTTGACATAGGGTTGCCACAAGCCTTCATTTGTAAAAATTTCAGTAAATGTGAAGCAGAACTATCTAAATGAAAATAGATATGTTGTTATTGTTGTTAGGTACCAATGAATAAAATATGACTCATAGAAAACTTATGGACAACAGCTCTGAACTTTGTCCAATTTTGTGCCGTCTTTACCGTCTCTAATGGGCTCGAGTCCATTGTTATAGTCACTATATTAGTCCATCGTGTTAAAGGGCTTCCTCACTTTCTCTGACCTACCATCTTTCTCAATATAAGGACTTTTTCCCAAGAGCTGGTCCCTCCTGACAATATGCCCAAGGAGTACCCTGGTTGTCCTTCCTCCAAGACACACAAAGGAAATATGCCTATAGTCATAATCCTTGGTAGATAACTCACTATCCACACTGGTCTATAAATGACCTTGTTTTATTTTACTACTTTTGGAAATTATTTTTATTTGTTGTAATGATACAGTGAACATCCATAAACTCACCACCCACGAGAAAAATGATACCAATAAGTTATATTTCTTTTGGTCTTCTCTCACCCTTTCTCTTTGCATATTTGACTATGAACCTAAATTTTTTAAGTTTATCATACTCTTGTATTTAAAAACGATTATCACCTATATATGTTTTGGGTGGGATTTTTTTTTTCTTTCAGAGATTTCTAGGAAAAGGTTAAACACTATATATAGCTCTATGGTGCTTGCCTTTTTATGCTGTACCGGATAATCAAGATTGATTAAGATCACTGTATGTAACTATAGTCTCTTCATTTATACTGCTGTGTGATAGTCCATTGTATGAATAATGAATATACCGCATGAATGAATGATAATGAAGACACTCCTTCCCGAAAAAAATGGGGAAGCAGCAAAAGTGTTGTTCTGAGAGAATATTATAGCTTTAAAAGTTTATAGTAGAAAGAATTCTTTAACATCATTGAACTAAAGGTGCAATTTGAATTTTTGTTTATAAAGTAAAGAATAAAGTCCAAGGGGTGAAAGGTACAGAAGGATAGAGATAGTAAGAGCAGAAATATAAACAAAAATGATAAAAAATAGAAGATCAACAAAGCAAAAAATGATTATTACAATGAATAACAACAAAGTAGAAGATTGGTGAAATCAAAGGACAAGAGAGATAAAGTACAAATAAGGAATATTATGAATGGGAAAGGAAGCATTATGATAGGTTTATCTGATTAAAATGTTATAAAGAAAATTGTTTCCGAATTATTGTACCAATAGATAGGAAGACAGGGTAAATATATCAATTCCTAGAAAAATGTTAGCAGCCCTGTAATGTTGGAAGTCTAGATAGGCATAAAACCACTAGGGAAATTGAAACATTATTTCATGTTCCTCCTAGAGGGAAAAACATAAGGACCAGGTGGTCTTACAGATGGGTTTTAGCCAACTGTCAAGCAAATTATTTTTATTTGAAACAAACCCTCCAGGAAGATAAAAGAAAAATTTCTACTCCATTGAAGTCTGAAGAACTTTGATTCTAAAATCAGAGTATGTCTTTAGAAAGCAGTAACAGTTATTATAGACAATCATAGATCAACAGAAAACAAAAAACAACACAAGGACTAAGATGCAGCATGTTAGGCAGTTAAACAGAAGAATAGCAGTTAAACTGAGAAAGATTTAGCTTCAAATTCCAGTTACACCTCAGATTTCCTTAGCTCTGAAGTTAGGGTAATACCTGATTTTCAGAGGTTTTGTTGTTTTTTGTTATGTGTTGTTGAGTCGGAACCTAACCCTCCCACGCATTTTCAGAGGCTGTATATAGCTTAGGAGATTGCCTGTCCTTCTCCTGTGGAAAAGCTGGTGGATTCAAACCTGTCACATCAGAATTGACAGTGCAACTCTCAACCCATAGGCCAAAGATAAATGCATATAATACTCTCAAATAGACTTTATAAGTACATACGCACAGATTATGGGGCAAACAGTCAGTGCGCTGGCCGCTAACTGGTGGTTTCAGTCAATGCAGAGGTACCTCTCAGGAGAAAGGTGTGGTGATCTACTTCCATAAGTTCAGCCACTGAAAATTCATTGATCTTCTATGGCACACATAGGTCACCATGAGTTGAAGTCAGTTCCACAATTAGTTTGGTGATTTGGAAGGATTTTGTTTTGTTGTTGCTATGTATTGTTGTTGTCAGTAATATGACTGTAATTTTTTTTCTCATATATGTTAATATTTTTAAAAAGTTTTATTTAAGTAGTACTTACCATAGACTGCCAAGAAAACAAATAGGTCTCTCTTGGAGAGAGTGAAGTCTCCTTGGAAACTAGGATTTTGAAGCTCCGTCTTACATAACTTGAGCATGTGGCCAGGAGGGACTCGTCCTTGGAGAAGGACATAATTCTTGGAAGGGTGGACGAACAGTGCAGGAGAGGAAGACCCTGGATGAAATGGATTGAGACAGTGACGAGGTCAATGGGGGTAGGTGTATTGGAGTCAGTGAAACTGGCTCAGGACATAGCTGACTTCAGAGCTGTTGTACATAGAGTCACTATGACTCACAGGCAGCTTAACAGCACATAACAACACAACAACAGCAAAAAAGAAAATTTAGTATAAACAAATTTTTGGTGTTACAGATCCCATTGAAGGCAAGTGACATTTAATTGTTGGTAGCCAACATTTATTTTCCTTGGAAAGTGACATTGCTATAAATTGTATTTCCCACCACAGCAGTTCCTGAGAATGTCAGTGCACAGCCCAGGCAGCAATGAGCAGTTCCTAACCTTTTTAATAAGATTAAAAGATAAAGGTTAAAAAGATATCTCAAGATTAGGTTCTGTTGATTATCGGCAGAAGTTCATTTTCTGGAAGAAACAGGATTTTTCACTTCCAGCCACGTGAAACCCATTTTAAAACAGAGTCTTTCGCTACAACTTTGGGATCTCCACACCTGCCACCCCCTCCTTTCTCCTCTAAATCTGGTTCTCATCTTTGATCATGTACTAACGCTGTCGTTTCTCCCTTATTCTAGTTCTATGTCTGTGACCAGTTTGGAGGCTGACCTGCAAGCCAAGATCCAGGAGATGCATCCCGAGTTACGCCGCGTGTACTTTAATAAGGGATTATAAAGCAGGAAGCCCAGCCTCAAGGCTAATCCTCTCAGCCATGCACCTGGTGTAGCCTTGTTTGACCTGTGTTCTCCTAACTACCAAAACATTTCCAAGATCCGTGCTAGCCTTACAGGGGGAAGCTGCTATGTAGAACCCAGCCAGGTCCTTCACACCTATTGGTCTATTCCAGTTGAATCATATCATTTGCAAAAATACCTTTTCTGTGTCTTATAGTCAGAGATTTTCAAAGACCATGTCCAAACCCTCACCCAAGGTTTTATGAAGCACTTCTAGGCATAAGATAGGTTCTTAGTAGATGCTCAATTAGTAATAATTATCAATCAGTGAAAAGGAAATCTGCTTTAAATATTAAATTTTTATCCCACTGTTGTTTCAAATCCGGGATCTCAGAAGTAATGGAGGAACAGGCAAAAGTTCTGAGGCTAAACTAAAAATATTTCCCTTCAGTGTTAAACTAGTTTGTCTCTAGTGTGAGCAGTGGGCAGGTAAAAAAAAAAATAGCATTTTTTTTTAATTTCAGCATATTGATTCTTTTTTAGACCTTCCAATGTCATAGTAATAGACCAAGATGACCAGACTTCCGTGCTACCAACAAATAAATGCTCACATAACGTTGATAGATTTATTTGGCGAACCATAAAATTCATTCAGTTTTAAATTCTCAGACTGGTGTGGGCCTTACTTTAGTTATTAACTTTTATACTCAAGTATCCACTCCAAATAATCAAATAACTGAAGTTTCCAAATGTCAAATGTATAAAATATCCCCAACACTTATGCCATATAACTGCGTTGAATCTGATCAGGCTCATTTTTCGGTTTGTTCAGTCACCTTGTCTTTTCTTATCCTCACAGATTTCTTTAACTTTGAGATATCGAAATCATGTGTTTATGAATTAGTAGCTAAATGAATTTCACTTCAGTATTGTCTATTACATTCTACACTGTTTGAAGGTGATGAATCTGTATGGTACTGCTTACAGTATCTGTAGTGATTCTATGTGTTTTCTAGCTAATTTAACAGATTATATTTCAAGTGTCTCATTATTCAGTCATAGCAGAAGGTGATTGCTTCATTGATTGTTGGTCATTGTCATTCCGAAATGTTTTAAGTGGGGGGAAGAAAATGTAGAAACCTATTTAGTTTTAGCAGATTTTCCAGACAATGTGGCCATACTGAATTTCCTCATAAAGAAAAAAAATAGCGTGTCCTGTGTCTGTGCTTCTCCTTCCTATGAAAAGATTAGTGGATCTGAAGCTTTGGATGACTGAGCCTTCCTTTATGCCATTAGAATTTTCTCCTTTAGAATTTGAAGCAGCATGCTAGCCTGGGGTGTATTTCACTGCCAAAGATGCTTTTCTTTAAAAAGCCTGGAATTCAAGATAGATCTCTATAAGGTACTTAAAGGATGCTTTTAGCAAAAGGCAGCATTCAGATTCTTGAGTGTCTGCCTCCCTCACTTGGCCTCTCTCATCTCAGAATTCTTACACCACAAATTTGTGGCTCCACTTCAGGATGGCTACGATCATTAAAAGATTCGTGACCCAACTGAAAGTATACACTCCCACACAAGGAAGATAGACCCAAAACACAGTTGTAAGAGGGAAATTGAGAATGGAGATGAATCTTTTTAAAAATTGTCTCTTGAATCTTCAGGTTCAGTATTAACTGTATGATTTAATCATCAAGGAGCATTGGTGGCATAGCCCATTGCACGGTGCCCAGCTAACCTGGAGGCTGAGTGTCTTCGGTGCTTACTGGCCCCCGGCAGCCTCCTCCCATTAATATTTACAGCCTTGGAAACTCACAAAGAGTCAGAATCGACTCTGACAGTGAGTGAGTTTAATCATGGTTTATATACTTTTTAAAAAAGAACAAAACCAAGATTGGCAAGCTTTGCTGATCTAGAAATACCTTTCAGGTAGAAAATCCACATGAAGTGCAATAAGTTTGTAAAGATTAATAGTTATTGATGTTTCTATTAACATGCTATAAAGAATCATGGTCATAAGTATTAACTAACTGACTAGCAGTGATTATTTCAGTATTAGGACAGTGTCTGGCCAGTATTGGAGACAGTGTGTTGTTTCAGTTCAACTGGATGAAATGTTAAATAAACTCCAAATGAAATAAAATTCTCTCTTTTATTTGTATTTAAAGGATCATGCTGTTTCTGTGTTGCAGTTGATGGTGCCTCTCATTCAAACTTAATATCTTGTGTACCATCAGGAAGACCTAATGAAAAGAAATTTTTGTATTATGGCATTAACAGGAGACAGACCTAGTTTTTGTTACCAGCCTCTCACCTTCTTGAACACAATGCCTGCAATAGTTCACATGCCCAGTACCACCACCGTCATTTCTGGGGCTGTGGTTATGAGTACAAGGGGAATACGAGACTTTGCTTCACACTCCAGTGATGAACACTGCTGGACATAGTAGTGAGGCCCATGTGCTTTGACAGTATTTATCAGATTCTGGTATGAAAAAACATTTGCCAAGGTTAACAAAATCTGAATTCACCAAGATTTGGAAATGCCTTACTAATAGATTTCATCGAGACCTGAGCCTCTGGTCATATCTGCATCTATTTTGTTACAGTCCCTCTGTCAGACACTTAAGTGATTTGATTCTGTTTTAAGAGAAGTCAGAGCCAGGTGCATTCTTGGCCTTATATATAGTCATGCCTTTGGGCCAGTTACGTTCTCCATTACCTGCGATTTGGTGGGGGGGAGGTTGTCTGTGATTTTGTTATATTGAAAAGAAGGAGACAATTGAATCTACACCATAGAGTTGGAGACATGAGACAAGAAGATCCTGTACACCTGTTACTGGCCTCCTATACTGTTAACTTTCTGTAAATTCTTACCTGTGTATACTTGCCCTAGAGACATGTTTTCAGAGTACCAGCATGTCATTGGTAAGGGCACCGTGTCAATATCTAGCAATTTCACTAAAGGTAATCTACAACTAAATGAGAAATAACTGGTCAATTGAGATAGTTTAATCTATCCCATAAAGATGCCTTAACAGTTGAGCTCTGCATGAGACAAAGGCAGAAGGGCCAGCTTCCAGGAAGGGAGCACATCATCAAGACAACTCTGAAGATGACACGCAAGCCTGCAACCCTGTCCAAAAATGCTCTAATAAAATTTGTTTCCCCCTTGTGTTGGCTTGACGTCTGAGTTAGGGCCAAATCAACACATACATGGTTTCAAGTTGAGAAAAAAGTAAGGTAGCATTTAGTAGAAAGAGTTGAGTTGGTTTCTCATTCATGGCAGCCTTGTGAACAGTTGTACAAAGCATCCTCACAATTGCCATCATGTCTGTATCCGTCATTGTAGCTATTGTGCCCATGCATCTCACCCGCACTCTCCCTTGCTCGTTTTCTATTTCACCAACACGCTGTCCTCCAGTGCCTGATCTCCTCTGATGAAGTATCTAAAGCATGTAAGTCAGACGATAGTCTGTGATCACTGACTGATTTTCAGATGTCAATCACCAAGACTAACTTTCAAGTCTTAGTCTAGAATATATGCCGAAATCTGCCCACCATGAATGGTCTAGCTAATATTTGAGATAACTATGCTACAGCTGCCAACATTACAGTAACATACACGCCATTGAGTACACCAGAGTCACAGTCAACTGGTTAAGTGATGAGGCAGGTGTCATCTAAACCCTTGAAAGTGAAAATGTGGTCCAGGACAAGCAGCATACAAGCTTGGTTGGAAATGTGAAGTTTTGGGTCCCAACTCAAAACCAGTGAATGAGAATCTGAATTGTTAGGTGCTGTCAAGTTAGACTTAAAGCAATCCTATGAACAACAGATCTGAACCCTGTCCTATCCTGTGCCTTTCAAACTGGACTCTACCTCTAATACACTATTCTCTATTGTTCATAGGGTTTTCAGAGGCCTGTTACTTCAGAAGTTGGAGGCCAATCATACTTCATAGTTTGTCTTCATCTGGAAGCTCTGCCCTAACCTGGCCATTGTGCAAGGGCCTTCTGGCATTTGAAACACTGGTGGCATAGCTTCCAGCATCACAGTGACTCACAAATTAGAATCTGAGTAGTACCTAGAATCCCAGATGATCTCTATTCATCAGAGCTTGAGAAATGCCACTTGTAGCCAAATAGGGGTTTTCCCAAGGGCCAGAGAGTTTCATTGGGTCCCTGTGAGAGCCGCTTGTGATTTTCTAGAAATATGATACTTATCCTTCTCCAATTCCTTGTAAACACCATGGGCCAAATGCTGACATTCTTCGCAACAACAAACTTACAAGGGCAAGGACTTTTGTTTGTAGTTCCATCTCCAGCACCTAGAACAACTGACCCTAGCTGAGTGTCATAGTTGCCTTTGAGGTCAGAACACTATCCATGAATCTGAAAAGTGTCTTCACAGACTACTTAGCTGTGGAGAAGAATCTGTTTTGTGTCAAGAAGTCTTCACCCAGATATGGAGAGAAAAAGGAATCTGTCTTCTGGGAAGACAGCTGAGAATGAATCTGGCTGGGAGCAGCCAGCTGGAATTATTTCTATCTGAGCTATCCCGTCCTCTTTAAGGTTACCAGAGACGTTGGAGTTGCTTGACCAGAAAGGAGGCTAAGTCAACACACAGAGGTTTGTTTGGGTTTTGTTTTGTTTTTTTTTTAAATGCTTGTTTATTTACAAAGTTTGTATACATTGTTTTTCACACCAGATTTTCCCCATTTCTTCACTTCTCCAGTCCATCAAATTGTGTGACTCTATGATTAATGCCCACCTTTCCACCCATCCTCAGCCCTCTGATTCCCCCCTTTGATCTTCATACATGTTCTACAATAATGGTTTTATACAATATTTGGCCTTATGGGACTGAGAAACGATCAAAGTTATACAAGTATTCAGGTCTTTCATTCATAGGGTCGCTATGAGTCTTCTACTACTTGACAACACTTAACAACAACAATGGGACTGAGTTAGTTCACTCCAGTCCCTCCCAAGTTAAGTAGTG